CTCTTCCATTTTCTTCGTCGCTCTCGAACCACCTTCGATTCCTCCGTCTCGTTCCGTTGGACACGTCGTCGTCCTGGCTGGCCCCGGTTCCTCTCTATCCGACCCACTCAGTTTCATTTCAGCCAGCCCTCTCCCGCCGTCTCCCTTCCCCGACTGCCGACGGAGGGGTTGAAACGAGAATCGAGACGGTAGAAGGGAATGGAGCTCACCTCGAAAGCGAAATACAACAAGTCCCGCCGCCATTGCTGGGTCACCCTTCAACAGGAGTTTTGTCGTTGCGTGGGTGGGGGTTTGACAGCCCTATGCGACGTGTCACCCCCTTTCGACCCCGGCCGCCTGGCTTTAGGGGAAGGGTGGGGACCGAAGGAGGACGGAGAGAGGGAGAAAGTGAGAAAGAGACGCGGCGAAGAGGAACCGAGGGAAGAAGATGCATTTATCGTTCGCGGAGAGCGGCGGAAAATACTGTAACGGAACGAGATGGAGAGAGAGAGAGGGAGAGAAGCAGGGTTATCGCTTCGAGGGTGAAGAAGGAAGGAGGACGCAGTTTGTCATCGGGTGAACGAAGGGAAAAGGTAGAGAGAGCGAGGTATAGGGAGATAAAGCGAGAAAGAGAGAGGTAGAGAAAGGGGCATCGAAGGGTTGGGTGCAGTTTATTTATAGGGAGAAAGCGAATGGAAGAAGGAAAAAGAAAGGGAGATGAATGGTAACGCGAAGAGAGGGATGAAGAGAGACAAGCAGGGAGAGAGGTCGAAAACTCCGCCCCCGCATCCGCAAAAGCGAGTCAATACTATGACCACCCATCCTTTCTCCTACGAATGCCCTCTCGGTAACCCGCGCTACCTTCCTCCTCAACCCTCTTTGCTGTCTTTGTGCGCGGCCCGCAGGATATCGAAATTCGTTACGTGTCGTAGCGAGAATCCTCGATTCGAAGATTCCCGACGCGGCGTCACGAAGCAAACGTGTGGTCTCGGCTGACGGCAATCGAAACCGAAGTCGCACCTCGGTTTGACGAAAGTTCCATTTTTCAGTCGGTTTTTCACTTTCGTTCTTATGTCACGTGTGTGGGTGGGAATATGGTCTCCTCGGTAACCGTTCGCTTTTTAATCGCATAAAACTTGGCTTTTTATTCGAAGGCGAAGATTTCATACGGGTTTAGATTAAATACAGTGCAGTGAAAGAAATTTGGTACTGTATAATGGAATTGTTATGTACAGACGTGGTCTGAAAGAAATATGGATTTTTAGTTGGTTCGTATCTTGGAAGTTTCGTATGTTGCATTTGTGACTGTTCAATTTTGGATTGTTCGATGATCGTTTAGTTTGAAATTCGCTATCTTCGCTTGGTATTATTAATAGATCGAGATACTGCAGATTTGATTATGTCGCTATATAAAATACAATGCAGCAAAATAAATGCAATATTGTGTAATGAAATTTTCGTCTTCAGGCTTGCCCCGAAGCAATTCAGATATTTAGTCGGTTTTTATATCTGGGGAATGTTGTATGTTGCATTTGTGATTGCAAATATGGATTCTTTGTTTCTTATTAGTGGGCTGAAATACTCTGCGGATTGCATATGTTCTTGCAAAAAATATCATGCATCGAAGGTGTATTATCTAATGAAATTTTCTGTCTTGCATTTGTAACTGCAATTGTAAATTGTTTTTTTTTTGTCTTTTGATTTCGCTAATTTTGTTTCTTGTTAAATGTTTATTTTATTTATAT